ACCCATCCCCCCGCCTCGAGGGGGACCCCCCACCCATGCCCGCGACTAGGAGGTACCAGACATTTGGCCGCGACTAGGAGGTACCCTTACTACTACTGCTCCCCCTCTCCACCCCCCCTCGCAACATTCCACACACACAGACACTCAAGGGCGCCCAGGGTGAGAAAGTGCACCGACCGAAGGCTGCAGCAGCTGCAACAGAGGACAACATGCATGTGGACGACACTGATTTGAGGGGACTCCTCACACTACCTTCTGCTGCAACGAGGTGGGAGAAGAGCCAACGACGACCGGGAAGGATTCGAGAGCAGTGGACTGAGTGTCGTCCTACTGCTCCGCGTGAGGGCTGGGACGCAAGGCCTGCACCACCGACCGGTCGTCGTAGTCATCCTGGAGCTGATGCTGGGATGGCGACGGCGTGGTGAGCGCGGACTTGGCCTTGCGCCGAGCAGCTGCAGGGCGAGGGGCAGCACGGGGTTGCCGCCACGGGACGGCAGGAAGGGTCGCCGCCACGACCGCGTCGCCTGGATCACGTCGTCGGCCATCGTGCTCCGCGGCGGCGCCGGGGTGGTCGTGGTGCTGAGCGGCGGCGGCGCTCGCGGCCTCGTCGACCGGTGCGTTGGCGTAGTCCTAGGCGTTACCAGCTCCAAAAGGTACTACTCGTCATCGTAGTACTCCACGTCCTCCTCGGACAGGGAGGTCTACATTGTGGTCGTGGACGACACCGACGGCTACCTCGGCGGCTTTGGCCTGGGTTTGGGTGTCGGCGGGGGTGGTTACGTCGACGTTGTCGTGGTGGTCGTTGTCAACGTTATCGCCGGTGTCACCTCGGTGCTGTCGTGCTGCCGGCGGAAGACACCGTGAGTACCGAAAAGGGACCGCGCCCCCATCGAATCCCTCCCGGCTGACGTCCGCTGCACACTCGGGTCGACGATCAGCGCAACAACAGGTAGGGCAAGGAGTCACCGCACAGCAGCGTCTTCCACTCCGTCGTCATCGACGAAAGGGCCACTGCAATACACTCTCATCAACTCTCAGAAAGTCCTCGCCAACTCAAGGATGAGATCAAGGTATAGGCCAGGTGTCGGACTACATGGCACTGGCTGTAACCTGCGATATTTGTCGGGGGGCACAAGGAGCACCTCACCGACGAGACCACGTCGCTGGAAGCACCATTCGGAGAGGCCACGGACCCACCACAGGATGGCTTGAGTGTGTGTGTAGGGGCCGGAGGGGAGGAGGTGTTAGGGAGACTAACACTAAAGCTTACCAAGAAGACTCTGGTACTAAATGTGGGTCCATGAAAACACCTGTTTTGGTTTAATTTAACTAAAAAACACTTTTTAACACCTCAGTGGTAATAGCTAGACCAATAGTTTTGGCGCAGGTAGCCTTATCTGAAAGCGTTACAGATGGTGATTTTTTTATTTTTTTCTACATTATCAAACTTTTCCCATTTTCTAAGGCTTCTACCGCTTCAGAAAGGTCTCGACCAACACTTTTAAAAATATGTTTCAGGATTATGTATAACATACAACTAGACATCAGTTCCTTAACCATTTTGCAGAAAGCAAATGATAAAATAAAAGGCTTTAGAAAAAAAATACGGATTAAGAGACCAAATTGTACTTTGTGAAACTTCCAATGAGTGTGAACTTATCTTGACATTTTATTATCTGACTGCACAGGATGAACTTCGTGATTTCACATTAGAGTTTACATATTTAGATCCAGCAGAGACAACTTTAGTGGAAGATCTTGTAATGGTATGTCCTTCATTAATTGAATAATATGTAAAAAAATAATCTAAAAATGATCCATTTGTATTATAGGGTTCTGAGCATCTTCATAAAGTAAATGTAGATGATGGAGTCAACATAAATATACAATGGCAAATATATAATGACATTATAGAAGATTACCGAAAACTGAGTGAAGTATGAAATGACACATATGTTATAATTAGTGAAATTGTCTTCCTTTCAATATCTAAATCACAGTTTTACATTATAACTGAACAGAATCTGTTCAGTTATAATGTAAAACAGATGAGGTCCTCAGAAGCAATGAACATTGAATTAAGTTTACCATCAACTTCTGAACAACCACAGGAGAAAGTATTGGTGAAGTTAATTTGTTCAAAGGTATGATACAAACATAAAAAAAACTAGCAAATAGAATTAACAGCTTCCACTAAAAATCTTTACTTTTACAGATACACCCAGAATTTAGCATCGTGCATCTTCACTTTCCATCCAAGGTAGTCATATACATGAGAGAAGTTAAGTTTCTGGAGGAATTTAATGAAAAGTGCACAAGAAGAGAAGATTGTGCAGTGGAAGACGAAAAAGCTTCAGTACGTTGAACTGAATTTGTGATTAAATTATGTAACATAATGAGTTAAAACAGAATTTCACACATTGTTATTTTCTTTAATAGATGACAATAGATACTGACTCTGACAGTGACAAGGAGAGCAATTCAAAGAATGCAGACAAGAAGGAAGATCAAACTGCTAAGGACACAACAACATCAAAGGAAAACGATGATAAGGTACAAATAAACACTTATAAAAGTAAAAGTTAACTTGAGAAGAAACTGTACTTAAATTAAAAGGACATAATATCACAGATCAATGAAACGTCTCCTACAAAAGCTGATAAAGATAAAAAAAATGATGAAAAGACAGCGAAGAAAAGAAAACCTGACACAAAGGTATTAGTAAATACAATTTCTGAAAAAAAAATACAGTAAAAATTTGTACTTAACATAAATGTCATTATACAGGATACAAAAGATGATAACTCTGAGTCATCAACTACATCAACATCAAAAACTAAAAAAAAAATCAAAGAGAAGGAAAAAAAAAGTAATGACAAAGAAAAGTCAAAGAGAGATTATTCTGATGAGGTAAGGAGATTATATAAAATCTCTAATTTTCTTTTCACGAAGTTCTGTAGTAAAGAAAACTTGTTTGTGTCCTGATTTAGGATAAGTCATCTAGTGACGATGAGATAAATAAAATCAATAAGGCCGCGTCTCAAATTCCGACACAGAAATCTGTAGTATTATGGTAACATTAACATAACCAGGTTACAGCAGAATACCCTCAGTCACGGCCACTAGTGATCACTATGGAGGCGACACCTACACTCAGACCCCTGAACCTTTAATTGTTTTACGATCGCCTTGTTCTTCTTGTTGTTATGCCAAACAAGGAATAAATAGAGGCGCGAGCCTTTGACTCGCAGCCATTTACAACTCATGAGTTCTGCTGTTCACATGATCTTGGCTCTCCCGTAACCCCAATACTACAAATCAATTAAAAACCTTCAAAAAAAAGTATTACAAAATTGCGGAATTTTTGGAAGTAGAAACAACACGAGGAAAAAGTATTAGACTTAAACTACACGATGAAGATGTAGCTGATAAGTTTTGTTTTGTGCACTTGCCAAGAAACATTTTAAGCGAAATGGTGCCCATATTGCAAAAACTTAATGAAAGATGTAAATCAGAAAAGGGGATGTATTTCATGTTCAGAGGGATGAAAGGCTTAGCATTCAAAATTAGATTTACAAGGAACCCTCACAAAAAATAAGTTAACTGTGCTTCCATCAGTGTAGTTATGTTAAAATAAATAAAATTAAAAAATTAAAAAAGCATAAAAGAATCTTGTTGTCTCATTAAGATAGTTTTGTAAAAGAAGTACACATAAACGGTTGTATTTTTATAGTTGTATAATCTTTTAAACTATTATCGTTAAAAACTCCATGAGTTAATCTCCACTTTTCTTTTTGATTGTTTCAGGAAGAAAAATTGATCAGTAAGAGACAAAAAGCAACTGAAAGACAAAGAAAACGAAGGGGTACGATGTCAGAAAGTCAAAAAAAAAAAAACAGAGAGAAAAAAAGCTCAAATAGGAATGAGAAAATCAAGATTAAGAAAAGTTGATCAAGATAAGAAAAGGTAAACAACTGAAAAGCGTATGTTAAAAAGGCTAGAAAAAAAAAACAGGAATACCATATGATCCTGATGGGAAAATTGACTTAGATCAGCATAACTTTAATTGCTATATGAAAAGTTTACATTGGTTTGTTTGCTCAAAATGTCATAAAAAGAAAATGGTATCAAGTTACACCAAAAGCAAGTGTGGCAACAATTGTGAACTCTTTTCTGCAGAAAATGACATGGACCCAATGAGTGTACCTGTAGAATTGCAAAACTTAACTTTTATAGAAAAACAATTAATAGCTCGAATTCATACAGTAATGTCACTATATAAGTTCAAAAAATGTCAATATAAGTATTCCGGTCAAGTCATTAACTTTTCACAAGATGTTCAATCAGTAGCCACAAAACTGCCACATCTTATTGCAGACATAAACAATGTAGTTGTTGTAAAGTTGACTGATAACATTGTTTTACAAGACTTTGTAGTAAGGAAAGCAATAGTCCTAAGGGCCTTAATTTGGTTAAAAGCTAATAACCCCAGTTATTCAGATATACAGATAGATTATAAAAATCTTGATTCACTACCAATAGAAGGTAATGTGTATGGTCAGTTAAAGAAAATTGAAACTGATATGGATTTCCCTGATGAGATTGAAGATAATGAGGATGACACAACTAAGGATAATGATGAGAACAGTGAAATTAAGTTATCATACACTGATGTACCAGAATTAATGGACTCTTCTTTAAAAAAGTCACTAGATAATGTGGTAATTTGGCCATCAATTGGAAAAACACCCATTATTGAGTTTAGTTCACCTGGATTTATATCGTTAGCCTTCCCTCACTTATTCCCATATGGTAAAGCTGATTTCTCTATGGGACGTAAACATAAAATTTCACTCCAGGATTACATAAGGCATCTTATGTTATATTCTGATTCCAGATTTGCTCAAGATGAACGATTTCGATATTTCATCATGAATTGTGAAATGAGATGGACAGCTTTAAACATAGGGAACATTTATGTAAAGAAAAACAGTTTCTTTTCTAAAATGACTATTGTCCAATTGAAAGATTTCCTGAAAAAAAATCCATCATTGGTAAATCAAGTTATGCACTACGGGTCACGACTTAGGACAACCAAAGCATATTGGAAATCTAGATGTGGGGAACTATTAGATATGGTAAATCAACTTGGAACACCAACAGTGTTTTTCACATTAAGCAGTGCAGATTTTCACTGGCCTGATTTATATAGGTTACTTGGACATGATGTGAAAAATTTAACTATGAACCAACGTAATGACTTACTGTCAAAAAATCCTTTGGTTGCAGATGCATTTTTCTATGCTAGATCAAAGTTCTTTCTTGAGAAATCATTTAAAAACCATTTTGATGTAAGCGACACATGGTACAGGTACGAATATCAGCATAGAGGTTCAATTCATGTACATGGAATAGCTTGGTTAAAAAATGCACCCACAATAACAAACAATATGACTGAAAAAGAAAAAGAAGTAGCCATAGAGTACTACAATAAGTTAATTTCATGTCAAAATCCCAACATACAAATTAAGCCTAGTTTAATACATCCATGTCAACTTTCATTGGATGAAGTTGATAATTTAGAAGATGATCTTTGCCAATTGATAAACCAAGTACAACGACATACAAAATGTAGAAGAAGTCATTGTTTAAGACAATGCACTAAAACAAAAAAAGTAGAATGCCGATATAAATTCCCAAAACCATTGGTCGATGAGACATCTCTGGAAGTTAAAGATGGTCATGTTTTCGAGATTAATTTTTCAAGGAATGATTCATTGGTTAACAAATACAGTACTTGAGTTCTGCAGACGTGGAGGTCAAATATGGATATGTCACCAATATTAAACAAAGGAATTGTATATAAATACATAGCTAAATACGCTTCAAAATCAGAAATCAAATCAGAGTCATATAATGACATTTTGACAGAGATAATAGACAAAAAATGTGATGACTCTGATCCATGTAAAAAAGCAATCAGAAAACTCTTACTGAGATCTTGCAGTGAACGAGATTACTGTGCTCAAGAAATTTTTCATTACTTAATGGGTTTCAAGTTTTATCATAGTTCTCGAGAATTTATTGTAATTAACCTACACTGCATAGATTGGTTAACATTGACTAGCTCATATAGATCAAATAATGTCATTGATTTATACACAAAAAGGTCGAGTAACCTTGAAACTTTATCATTATTTGAAATATGCAAGCATTTTAAATTGTTACATGGGTTGTGGGAAAAGAGAAAAATATCAGCAATTGTGCGATACTTTCCTAGACCAGTGAAAGATAACATTTCTAGAATTTACTATGAAACAATGGCACAATACTTTTTTCCATGGAGAACTATGGACGACATTGCTGTGATAGACAAAGTCATCATGGAATGTGCAGATAAGCTGATAAACAAATACATAACTTATCATGATGATGAGAATGATTTTGAAGATGGAAATGAGGATGAAAATGATAGTCATAAAATGCTAAGTACATCAAACTTAAAAGATAATGAGTCAATTTTAACAAGTTTTAACCCAAACTTATTCCAGAAAAAGATAGAACTGAAAACAGCAGAGGAATATAAATGGGATAAGATAGGTAAAAAACTGAACATTGAAACAGTATAAGTGATAAATGAAAAACTACGAACAGACTTTCATTCAGAAGACAACACTCAATATGACATTGAAATGTCAAATGTTGATCAAAAAAAAAATTATCAAATTTGTCAACTCATTGATTACCCATATAAAATGCAAAAGTTATGATAAGCCACAGTTTGTCTTAGTGCAAGGTATGCCAGGGACAGGGAAAACTTATGTGTTAAAAATGTGTGTTCAGGAGATTAAAAAACAGCTGGGACACAAATCAATAAAAGTACTCGCACCAACTGGAGTCGCAGCTAGAATAGTTAATGGTACAACATTACACTCATTTATGGGTTTGGGTAAATATGGCTTTAATGCAGAACAATTAACCGGATTAGAATTGTTAGCATTCAGACAAAAGCACGATGGGTTAAAGTTTTTATTTATTGATGAATACTCAATGGTGGGCCTCAGAATGTAAGCATGTCTGGAAAGAAGATGCAAAGATTTGGCTGATTGTGATTTGTTGTTTGGGGGTTTGACAGTTTTCCTTTTTGGCGATTGTAATCAATTATTACCATGTGTGGACCAACCTTTGTATGCAAACATTGAGAAATTGCAACAAGGAAACTC